TGGGATCTTCCCGGACCGGGGCACGAACCCACGTCCCCTGCATCGGCAGGCGGACTCTCAACCACTGCGCCACCAGGGAAGCCCCTGCTCTTGTTTTTAATAATAATAACTCTGGTTTTGTTGTATTTTCTTAACTCAAAATAATGTAGGTTCATTGCGAGAAAACTTAAAAGATAGAAATAAGCAAAAAGAAGAAAATCCCCCATAATCCTACTACCCAGAGATAACCCAGTTAACATATGAGGTATCTCCTATACAGTCTTTATTTCTCTACAAATACTTTTTTTTCTTTTATAAGGAAAAAAACTGCTTTTTCAAAAAATATGAGCATCTACTGCATATTTCCCCACGGTACTTAATATTTTTATATGTCATTTAAGTTGTTCAGTCTTATTTTAAAATGACACAAAATGTACATAAAGAGTTACTGTTAAGTGAGTAAAAAGAATAGGATGTTTCTAAAGATTTTTCTCAAGTATCACGGGATAAAAAATATTAAGTCATACTCTTACTATTTCCAGAGCACTCAATTGCTACTGTTCAGGACTTGGCCCACTCTCCTCTTGTCTCTGTTTCCAGGGAAGAAAGTACACCAATGATGTCGCCAAGATCTACTCCATCAATGTCACCAATGTCATGGATGGCGTGGCTTCCTACTGCCGTCCTTGTGCCCTGGAAGCCTCTGACATAGGCTCCTCCTGCACCTCTTGTCCTGCTGGCTACTATATTGATCGGGATTCAGGAATCTGCCGCTCCTGCCCCCCTAACACAATCCTGAAAGCCCACCAGCCTTATGGCGCCCAGGCCTGCATGACCTGCGGTCCAGGAACCAAGAGCAACAAGGTGCCAGCAGTTGGCCGGGCATCCTAGCCTTGGCCCTCTGAATGGGCCACCTCAGAGGGTGCCGGGTCCTGGGTGGGGTTCTTGAGGGGCTGATACCCAAGGACCCCCCCCTAGTATACTCCCAGGTTGGCATCCTAGAGGACACCCATCCAGGCTATGACCATAGATGGAGAGTTCTTAGCTGTAGTGGTTGGTTTTCAGGGTCTGGGCCTCAGTCATGAGCGAGTCTCATCTTCAGGGGATGGGTAAGGGAGATCTGTGACCATCTGGTCCAGAGGGTTATTTGACATCTGTGCAGAGACCTGAAGGGAAGGAGTAGTGGGACTTGTGGCTCAAATTCAGCCTACTTCAGTCCAGCCTGTTATCATGGGAATTTGCCTCCTTTTTGTGGGGAGGGTAACCCACCTTTGCTGGGACATATGGTTAATTGGCATATTGCTGTCTCCTTTCCCAGGGGTTTCTTCTAAAGTGGAGCAGCAGTGCTGTTTCCCCCATGCACTTCCTGAATCTAAGAAAATACTATGACCAAAAGCTCTTAGTTATTCATTAATGCTTTTAAGTGAACTTGAATTTTACTAATCACAACCACATGGACACACATTTGTAAGACATTGTTTACACAGTCTGCAGATGCTGCTCAGTTTGGCTGTGCAATAAGTGCATCAGTTCTGCAGACCCCTGGCAACCTCTTTGGGGCACCCTGGACTTTTGCCACAGATTCCTCCCCCAGGGCTCCCTCTGCTGCTGTGGGAGGGATTGACAGTTGTGTAAGGCCGCTGCTGCCTGGGGACCTTAAAATGAGCAAGAAAGGGGTTTATGGCTCAGTTTCCTACAGAGAGCCTGGGAAAAAGTAACCTGGGGTTCAGTGAGTTTTAAATGGGGGAGGGAGACCAGGCTTGTAGCTTCTCTTCTGCCATCTTGGACACCCTTCATCCAGTTAGCACCTTGTTGTCTTTTGCTTGAAAGTAAGAAGGGCTATCTCGTGTCTTGAGAGAGTTTTATAATCTAGGCATAGGAACAAGGCTACAGAATCTGACCCAACTACCTACTGAAAAATAAGAGATTTGGGTTTGTACATCATATATGTGCTAATAATTGAATGGCAAGATGTACATAAACCACACTAGCCCCTGTTTTGCATCTTTTAATGCCCACTCCTAATCCATACATCCTCTTCTCTCACCCTGCATGGGCTGGACCAGGCTGGGGAGAGTGACTGCCACTCTCCGTGGGGCCTCCTCAAGGCCCTGCCTGCGCAGCCGGCCTGATGGACCCCTTTCCCCTCAGATCCACTCCCTGTGCTACAATGACTGTACCTTCTCAGTCAGCACTCCAACCAGGACTTTTGACTACAACTTCTTGGCTTTGGAAAACACCTTCTCTCTGGCTGGAGGGCCAAGCTTCACTTCCAAAGGGCTGAAATATTTCCACCACTTTACCTTCAGTCTCTGCGGAAACCAGGTAAGCTGTGCAGGTACTGACCATGTGAGAACGGAAAGGGGGCACCAGCGGATCAGAGGCCAGAGGACACGGGAGGTTCAGATCGCAGAGGATTGGGGAGATTCAAAGGTATTTTAATGATTATTATTCTTTCTCCTCTAAAATCAAATCATCTGGATTATAAACATTTAGGAAAACGAACATGCCTAAAATAAGGAGTAGGGAATTCCCTGGCGGTCCAGTGGTTAGGACTCCGTGCTTTCACTGCCAGGGCCCGGGGTTCCATCCCTGGTTGGGGAACTGAAATCCCACAAGCTGTGTGGTGCAGCCGAAAAAATTTTTTTTTATTTTTTAAATTAAAATAAAATAAGGTGTACATTTACTCCTCCCTGACCTTTATTCTCTCAAAATGATTATATAAAAACTATGCACATACATCAACTATACTTCAATTAAAAAAAAAAAAACTATGCAGGAGAAAGATTTTTTTTCCTTAGAAAAGCAGTCTTCAGTAATCATGACACTTGCTTTTCATTTTCTAGAGGCTGAATAAAATAAATTACTCTTTATTTCATCTACATGTATCTTTGCTGACAGTACGTGTTACCATCAGCATTTCAGGCTGCTGCAAATATTTTGGATGCAAAATTCAAAGGCAGAAATGTAAAGGATAATCACACCACCACTGCACTTGACTAAATTACAAACAGGCCAGGATTAGCGGTTGGAAAGTTAATTTCAAATGTTGCAAAATAAAAAGCGTCTTGAGCATTTAGTCTGTGACTGTGTGTGGAAGTTAGGTCTTTATACCACACAGCTTCTACCCATCTTCTGCAGCATGCAAAAAAGTTGATTTGTGTTTATAGAGAGAACATGGCAAGAAATAAACTAATCTGTGAAAGATTAGAGACAGATGTCTCTATCTTGTTTTTAAGAAGTCTTTGAATAAGTTAAAGCCTCAGAAGTGACAGTGATAACTCAGGAATTGTGACTGATTAAAGCAAGCCCCATGCAGCAAAAGTTTCAGTCAGTGAGTTGGGAGAGAGAAGATGGGAATTTGTGGAGTCTGTGAGTTTTCTTTTCTTTGCTCCCTTATTCTTATATAATCTAAAGGTTCCTTTCTGTTCTCATGTTCTTTACCTATTTCTTACAATCTTGAAAATAAACTGACATACCAGATTTAGCAACTTAGCTCTATTTGTAATAAAATTTATCATATTGAAAATCCTACATTCTAAATGCTTGGTCCACTTAAATTTAAAATATTGAACAAATGATCTTATATTAGCAAACATGTTATATATTCATATTTCATAAATTTGAAGAATTATATATTTATTGGCTGTGTTGGGTCTTCATTTCTGTGCAAGGGCTTTCTCTAGTTGCCGCGAGCGGGGGCCACTCTTCATCGCGGTGCATGGGCCTCTCACTGTCGTGGCCTCTCTTGTTGTGGAGCACAGGCTCCAGATGCGCAGGCTCAGTAGCTGTGGCTCACGGGCCCAGTTGCTCCAAGGCATGTGGAATCTTCCCAGACCAGGGCTTGAACCCATGTCCCCTGCATTGGCAGGCAGATTCTCAACCACTGCGCCACCAGGGAGGCCCAAATTTGAAGAATTTTTAAAGGAACAGTATCTCAATATCTCTTCTATTACAAAATCTCAAGGAAGGAGTTTCAATTCCCTCCATCTTCCAGAGTTCTATTCTATACAGTATGGGTTGTTAAAGACTGGAGGAGAAGCAATCTTTCTTCTGTTGATTAATATTTTTTTTTTTTTTTTTTTTTTGTCATTGGTTTTTTGTCTAGTTTGTCAGTTATTGAGAGTGGAGTATTGATCTGTAATTGTCTAGTTCTGTCCAGCGGCCATGGCTCACGGGCCCAGCCGCTCCGCGGCATGCGGGATCTTCCCGGACCGGGGCGTGAACCCGCGTCCCCCTGCATCGGCAGGCGGACTCTCAACCACTGCGCCACCAGGGAAGCCTGATAAATATTTTTAAATGGAATAGGGTCCAGTAGATCCTAAGATGTCCTACCTCAAGGCAGGGAGAGGGCTGGTTATGGGGTCTGTTTTAACCCCCAGGACACTCTGGAAGGTTCTTCCAAAGTAAGTATGGTAGAATCACAGCTCCAAGGAAGACACAGCAAGGGAATGGGCAGCAGGCCAGAGGTCCAGATAAATTTCATGGGATTAGTTACACATTTCAGTATCTACCTAGAAAACTGACTAGGATAAGGAAGGCCCTTAACTGGTGGGCTGGTAGATTAGATCTCCAAATCAGTTGCCACCTTCACAACGCTGCTTATATAGGGCTCCCAGGTGACTCCAAGGAAACAAAAGACTGGGGATCCTTGAACCAGAGTTCCAGAAACTAGGATACCTAGGCCTTATTCTTAACTTTTTTATCTTTTAAAATCTGTCTTGTAATTAGAACTGGGATGAATCGTTCCACTGCAACACACTCTTAGAAGGTTGAAATTTTAGACACGGAAAAACTGTTCCCTGTTCCCTTTTGGGAGTTCTTCTGTGATCACTCATTCCTTCCTACTTCCTCCCCACATCCCCCCTGCCCAGGGTAAGAAAATGTCCGTGTGCACCGACAATGTCACTGACCTCCGGATTCCTGAGGGTGAGTCAGGTTTCTCCAAATCCATCACAGCCTACGTGTGCCAGGCGGTCATCATTCCCCCGGAGGTGACAGGCTACAAGGCCGGAGTGTCCTCGCAGCCTGTTAGCCTCGCAGATCGGCTTATCGGTGAGTAACACAGTCGCTCTTGCCTGTCTGAGCATGTCTGTAAGAGAGAGTGAGCCTACCAGGCTCTGAGGTAAAAGGCCCCAGGTGAGGGGCCCAACCTCCTGACCTCTGTTTCCTATTCCATCCTGGGGTACGAAATGCCCTTGCGGCCACTGACAAACCTTTGGTTCACCCTTTCATGAGCCACTCAAGGATGTGATGAGATGAAGGAAGGTGGGATGTGGACAGGTATTGAAAGAACAGAAGTGGTTGCCAGCTAAATGCTACTAGTGAGGACTAATTAGGAGCTCTAATTTGGCAGGGGTGACAACAGATATGACTCTGGACGGAATCACCTCCCCAGCTGAACTTTTCCACCCGGAGCCCTTGGGAATACCGGACGTGATCTTCTTTTATAGGTGAAAATGAGAGGCCAGGTTAATGCAAGTGAAACCCAGGGCTCCTCCGCAATCTCTGTGGTGTCCCTCCCTCTCTAGCCACCTACTACTTATCAAGCCAGACCACTTCCAAGGTCTAGCAGACCTGCCCAGCAATGAGCACTAAAGGCTGGGATTTCCCCATCCTAGCTTCTTGGGTATTCCTGGGGCAGGTCTGCCCCTGGTGGCAGGGAGGAATACTGGATGACCTGTGGCGGACTACCCTTCCTGCCTAAGGGAGGCTCCAGTGTTGTGCATCTGCTAGCCTTTCCTAGACCAGTGCATTTCCCCTTGACCAGATCTCCCTGACCCCAACACTCTCCTGTGTGTCAGGCCACAGCCCAAGTCCAGACTTCCCCAGTGAGGGAACTGTTCCATGTTGACTTTACTTAGTGGCTCTCCAATGACACAGATGAGTGACTCGTTCCCCCATGGGGGCTGCTTTCTCTGCAGGTCCAATGATGTGACCCAGTCCTGCAGTTCTGGGAGATCAACCACCATCCGCGTCAGATGCAGTCTGCTGAAACCTGCTCCTGGAAGTCTGTCGCTGCCAAGGTAAAGGGATGTAACAAAGTTTCCCTCCCTTGGCCTCATAACGTCCCAAGAACCAAACAAAGAGTACTGCAGAAGAGCAAAAGAGAAAACCATGTGAGATACATTAATGGGTTCTTGGGGACACAGGCATGGCTCCAAACCCTCAGTCTTTAGATGTCAAGAATGGAGCAGAAGGAAGAGTCAAAGCTACCCTCACACTCCCAGACCATTATGGGAGCAGCTGCCTAGCAAAGTGAGGAACTGCTGGGGCTGAGAGCCAGATTCGACTCCCCTCCTCCACTTACCAGCTCTGTTATGGATACAGTTCTTATCTTCTCTAGGCCTCTTCTTCCTTATTTGTAAAATGGGGATAGTAATGAATTCCCTCAGGGGGCTGTTATGAGAATTAAATGAGATAATGAGACTTGAGGACTTCCCCAGATGTGGTTACTTCCTATTATCATTAGGATTAGTAAAGGTTTAGGGAATCCTAGGAACTTCTCTACAGCTGGAAGACCCTATTCTGAGTTTAATAGCTGAGTGCACTAAATTGAGGACTCCTGAACTAATCTGATTACAGTACCCTTCCCCACCCCCACCCCCACCCCCCACCAACCTTCCTTTTTTTCACATAACACTAGCATCTTGAGGGGTACCAGTCTTGAGGAAGATGGTTTGGGAAATGCTGCTCCTAGACAACAACTGATCAGGGAGTTGGGGAGCCAAGCAGCACATTTTGACCCAGCAGCGGTGTCAAAATGTAAGATCACTATTCTTGTTGCAAACGTTACAGTAAAGTACACGGCAGATAGCAGTGACCTGAAGTTCATTCCTGAACCCTGCCCCCCACCTCCACCCTCTGCAGGAAGCTGCATGTGACTTTTGCAAAATGTCACACGTCCATGGGTTGGACAGGAGCTTCTGAGGGGTTAGTTGGGCAGCCATGCTAGAGCTCAGACAGCTTACATTAGTTCTTATCGGATGTCAGCAGAAACAAACGGGCAGAGGGTGGGAGCCCTGGTGAAGGCCGGAAAGGCCTTTTATCATCAGGGAAATCGGAGAGCGATACCTGGGTTAAGGACTAGTTGGAAAGATCCTGATGGAGCTAACAGTTTGGCAAGGAGAGGACAGATCAGGCAAGTTATGAGATGCCAGGACTCCAGCCAGATCCTCCCAGCAGTCCTGCGAGTGTGCGCTCATGTCTCCTTTCTGCTCTGCTAGCACATGCTCCGATGGGACCTGTGATGGCTGTAACTTCCACTTCCTGTGGGAGAGCGTGGCCGCTTGCCCACTCTGCTCGGCTGCTGACTACCACGCTATCGTCAGCAGCTGCATGGCCGGGATCCAGGTAGGTGTCTCTGCTTGGGGACTTCCCAGGAGACAAGGGAATGTGATATCTGAGTTCCTTGTTTTTCTCCCCGATAGAAGACTACTTATGTGTGGCGAGAACCAAAGCTGTGCTCGCGTGGCATCTCCCTGCCTGAGCAGAGAGTCACCATCTGCAAAACGATAGACTTCTGGCTGAAAGTGGGCATCTCTGCAGGCACCTGCACTGCTATCCTGCTCACCGTCTTGACCTGTTACTTTTGGAAAAAGAATCAAAAGTACATGATGTGGTATTTCAGTTTGGGGATGGACAGGATTGGATCATTGAGCTGGGAAGAGAATATCTGAGAGTATAAGTTCAGGGGGCTATTCTCTGGCATTGGCCACAGTCCCTGTGACTCTGGCCAGGGATGTGTTGAGCCACTTATCCAGTGTATGCCTTGGTTATCCTGACTCCTAAACAGGGATGGTATCACATGGCAGTCTGTGAAGGGCTGTTAGATTCTCAAAAGAAAAGCAAAGAGAATTCTTAATTTGTTATTATTAATGATAAAAAATAATGACTTTACAATTCCATTATTTCTATTAAGCTTTGAGATCACAGAAACACCTATACTTGAGGAAAAAGATCCCTGACTTGGGAGTCGGATTCCTTAGCTATATGCCCAGCCCAACACCATTTTGCTATGCTTCAGTTCCATTACCCATGGTATGGGAATATCTCTTTACAGCCCAGCCTTTCCCCCTTTTATTCCACATTTTGGTGTCTTGTCTTTCCCATCCCCTTGTTTCATAGGCTAGAGTACAAATACTCCAAGCTGGTGATGAATGCTACCCTCAAGGACTGTGACCTGCCAGCAGCCGACAGCTGTGCCATCATGGAAGGCGAGGATGTGGAGGATGACCTCATCTTCACCAGCAAGAAGTCACTCTTTGGGAAGATCAGATCATTCACCTCCAAGGTAGGGAAGCTGGCCAGTGCACTGAGGTCCGCCTGGAGGGCTGGAGAAGATACCAGTCCTAGGATACTGAATGACCCCACACTGTTCAGGGACCACTACTCTGTTCCCCATCCTCCATACTATTCTATCCCCCCACCCTGTGAATCCTGGCTTCTGCATTCTGTATTTCAACACCAATACTCT